ATATATATATATATATATATATATATATATAATTTAGTTCTCCTTAAGGTATCATTTGTCTGTATACTTACAGTAAATCTTAATTTTTTATTAATTTATTTGTGTTCATAAATTTTTATATAGTTTGCTAATAAAAGTTTACCACTTTTGATCTAAAGAGAAAATATTTCCCCCAACTAGTATGATGTTGTATATTGAGATAAAAGTTTTCAATATTAATAGGCCCTATAATTTGACTTATTTAAATTTTTAAAAATAATTTCATATGGAATACTACTAATGTTGGTGCAAAGTTCAAAACAAATTGACTTTTTAAATCAGCCATTTATAATTTATTATAATCTTTGCTTATTTAATAAAACACATTATATGTTGTACATTGCATATTTAGAGGAAATCACCCCCTCTATGTAAATATTATGTTAGCGTAATTGAGATCAAAGAGATTATATTATGTTTGAAGTTAGATATTAATGAAAGACTGTAGGCATTTAAGTATCGGTAGAGTAGTGCTCACAGTTCGCTTCATTGGAATGTAAATATTGTTTATTTCTTAGAATAATAAATTTGTTTACACATGTTATCTTAAACAAATTTAGTTTGGTCTTAAATAAATAGAAAACAGTTATAGTAGACTCTCCTAAAATTGTTATAAGAATAAACTTTCCAAATAATGTTTGTCTGCCTTGAATCTAGCCATATATAGAATAAACTTTACCAGGGTATTTATAACTATTGGTTTGTGATGTTATCTCTTAACACCTATGGTACTGTAAGTCTTTTCAATATCTGTGGAAATCATTGATTTTTATCACATGACAAAGTAATAATTTTCAGTTTCCCTTTGGAAATTGTTTACAGTGATTACTGTAGGTGATCTCATCGTTGCTAATATTCCTGTAAAGAGCTCATGGATACCTTTTCTCATTTGGAATTTTTCTTGATCCTATAAAGGCAAGTCATCTTTTGTTATTACCTGGCACTTGTTGCAAAGGTTGTATAAGTTTTTTTTATTGTCTTTATGGCTACTATTATTGAAGTGTTGTATATTATAAACCATAAGTAAATTGAAAATTAGCATTAAAAATCGCATTACAGCATGATTAACAATTTTACAACTGTAAAATGAAGGATTTTGGGGATATGGGAGAGGTGGTGTTATCTGCTTAAATTATATGCACTACTACACTTATACTGTAAAATATTTTACTTAATTTAATGTTATACTGTATGTCCCCCTCCCTCACTGTCCCCATTTCCCAATTGCCTTCCCTTTAACACAGCAGGCAGAATACCAATGTGCTGCAGCTGATATTCTTGGTAGGAACTCCCCATTTAATTTTTTAATAAGTAGTTTAACTAGAAAATATATTTAAACTTTTGTCTAGGGGTAGGGAAGTGAGTTCCCAATTGTCATACTAATGTAAACCTCTCATTAGACAACATTTTTATTTTCCTATTGGTGGCCACCTCTTAGGCCCTAAAATTTCAGGAATGTGAACAGGAAAGCTGAAAAGTAGCAATACAGTAGTCTGGGTATAGAAAGTTTTGTAAGGTGTATTTAGATAACCTGTCACAGTTTTGTGAATTAGTTGTTGTTCGAAGGACTCCCTCGTAGTCCAAAAGGTCAAGGTATTAAATCCCTTGCTGCTTTTTACAGTTGCTAACCTTTAGATTATTGACCAACATATATGTTGCGTCCTTGTTTTATTTCCTGACTTGACCACTGGACACACATGCTTCAGTGCTACATCAAAATTTCACTTTCATGTCTAAACTTTTGAGTGAATCATTTTGACAAATATAATCAACAGTTGCTTATAAGCGGCTATTACTTTAGCTCTCACTGACTAAGCCAGGGGCCCAGACCTTAAAGGGGTCCCAGAAATCTTCATCTACATTTTTAAGTTTTGCCTCATTTTAGACAAAGGTAGTTTTTTTAAGAAGCTGAAATGTAAATGTAAAAAGAAATATAAAAAACGTGTTCTTAAAACATCAAAAATGCCAAAGTTAGGTTTGTCCCATATCTGTAGCCCACTGGGCTCTCTGCTGGACCCAGGAGTAGGGCCCGAAGAAGAACCCCAGGCCTCAGTCTTTGCCACACCACTGTTAGTGTTAATCAACAATTGAGTGATAAAGATTATTAATTTGCTAAGTATAATATCTGCGGTAAACCACACAACTTAAATTGATCCATTTTAAAGCTAGATAATCATCAACTTTTATTGAACTTGAAGTATTTACTGATCATCCATGAAACTTTAAAATACAAACATAAAACAGCAAGACAGAATTGTTTGACTAAAATAGTTATATTTACATAACAAAATATGAAAAAAACAGGTTAAAAAGCAAAATTAGATTAAATTAATTAATGTTTAAATAAAAATCTAATAATAAAAGTGTCTCAAATTACAAACATATTTATACACACATGTACACAAACAACCCTATCACATACACATAGAAATATAAACATTTGAAATCAAAATAGTTCAGTGAATTACATACTCATTTAATTAATTGAAATATTTTATATAGTCAGCTAAACAACTCCTCAAACATTATTTTGAATTTCTTAATGTAAAAGAATCATTTATATTACATACAAATTATAAGTTCAAATAAAAATAAAATAAAAAATATTAAATTTACTGGCAGAGGATAGGCCTATTGTTAATTGGTATCGTATTAATTTTTTTGTGAAAGCTAAATACATTATTTTACTAGAAATTGCAAATTGCAAGTGAAGTGCTGCGAAGTACAACTGCATATAAATGTTCTTCGAACAAAATTATTTATGTAAGTCAAGTGAAAATAATGAATAATAAAAATATAACAAATAATATGAGACACGACCCATTGTCTATATTAGAACACTTCTCATTGGGTAACAAAGTCGTAATTTTTCATTTTTGTCAAAAAGTGTCTATAGTGGTGAATTATGGTTTTTTAATAAAGTTTCAAAAATTTCTACTGTATGTATGTGGAAAATGTAGTTGATTACCAAAGGTTACAATTTTTATTTTGAAGACTGCATAGTCTAGGAAGTGTACATTTTTTTTATAGGGCAAGTTTCCAAGGGCGGGTTTTCTAGGGGTGAGTTGACTGCCAAAGAGTGTTGCCAAAGTGCGAGCCAGCGTGTTATTTGATCACAAGTGCGAGACATCGCAAGTGTGAGCCAGCGAGCCATGACGTCATGACAATAGATACGAGCCGTTACTCGAGTCGTGCGAGGTATCGACTGAGATTTGTGGAGTACAATTCAAAAAACAACTATAGGTCTAATAATGAATTATTGTGATGTTAAATAGACAATGTTAGCTATCAAGGAGCGACGTTGTTTTTCATTAGGAACTTCGTCCCTTCAAGGCTAGGCCTATACCATCCTAGCTAGTTTAGGCCTAGAGTAGGATAAGGCTAGCGCGACATGCGGACGTTGGTACATGTTGGTTAGTTTACAAACGTCGCCTAAAGTAATTGATTTTACCCGGCAGAACGAAAGAAGGAATCTCCGCTTTTCAGTCGTCTTGTTCCGGCCCTTGTTTTTTGACAAACAATGACCTTTCAGAGGTCAAATTGCTGTCAAGAATATGAATTGGCTGCTTTGCAGCAACAAGGGGATGATAAGTTCAGATTCATGAGTCAGATTCATGAGTTTTCATATCATGCCCAAGTGTCATTGGATTCACCAACTTTGTACAACAGACTCACTGATCTTTGTGTTTGGTTTTGTGATAACAAATCATTGCGCAACCTTTATCAGAATTACTTTTAAGCATTCAATAATAAGGCAATTAATTTAATATCAAAGAGGGCATCGAGACATGTGGAGCTTTAAGATTTCCTGTACAAAACAGTAAGCACCTGATCTGACCTTGGTTTTTGGTTTTTGTGGTAACGAATCTTTGCACAGACTTACTAAAATTATTAAATATTCAATAATTATGTAAGTAATTTGATGTCGAAGAGGGCATCAAGACAATTGGATCTTTAAGGATTTCCTATAAACAAAATAAGGGAGAGATGCCATAGTACGTAAGAATGATAATAATAACATAATTCTTATTCTTATATTTTTGTTATTTAATATTAATTGAATTCAAACTTAACATTTATTTCCTTTTTTTTGCAATAAATTAGAAAGAAGTGTTGTAGCATTAGGCTTATAATATACATACTTTTAGGCTGAATAGCAACACATGATTTTGAAAACTATAGAAAATTATATTTCTAATACTGTACACATGTACAGCAGTGAGTCAGCAAACCATGGCATAAATAGGCTGATTTTACTGAACATTTTTTAATAACTAAATAAACCAAGCATATCCAAATATATAGGTAATTTAAATAAAATAATTATATTTCTAATACAAGGTGCCATATTTATGTATCAATGTTATAAGAATCAACTGCCTGTATCATTTAACAACCTATTTAAGACATTTGAATCATTCCATAACTATAGCACTAAAAGTCAAACATATGTCCTCAAATAAAATGCACAAGCGTAGGGCAACAATGTATATCTTATCAAGGGGCAAAATTTGGAATAATTTAACTGATGAATTAAAAGAGTTAGACTCAATAAGCAAATTTAAAAGGCAATTGTCTCAGTATATAATATAGAAAAATACAAAAATAAATGTTAACTATGATAGGTCCATATATATTTTTTTAAATTTCTTAATGTTGTTATACTTTTATTAATTTTGTATTATGTGTTTATATGTATTAATTAATTATTTTTTTTGCAGGGTTACATATTTAAAGCATTTTTCTTGCTTATTTTGTAACCTATTCCTTTACTTGCTACCATTGTATTTCTTTTGCTGATAATTGTATTGTTTATATTGATATTGAAATGAAGTTAATTGAAATTGAAAATTGAATAATTACTTTAAAAAGAAGAAAGGAATTGTTATTTCAAGCCACTAATGAGCCTTCTATTCAGAAACCCATCCAGGGCTCTGCAAACTATACTTGGAGCTCCATCCCCTGATCACTGACACACTGTGTGTGACCTCCTGTGCCCTCTAGGGAGTGTACTCACTACAGCTTTTAGTGTCAGCACCAGACATCATTCACATGGTATGTCATACTGTACCAGTTACTCATTTTATACTCTTCGAAGCTACATAAATACAGTAATATATTATATATTATTATTATTTAATATTATCCTGGATGGAGACAAATTTGAAAGGCTAAATGTCTCTGTGTGCTAGCTACTAGGGAAAACACCTTTGCAACCACAGCAGTAGTGGTTGCAAAGGTGAAAGTTCTTTTGCTGATAGTCAAAGTTGGTTCCAGCTGGGAGTTGTTGGTTCGAGGAAGAGATGTGGTTAGAAAATCAAGGGACTGAGATGGCATATATTTGAGAAAAATGTAAAAAATGCAAAATTAAGAGTCAGAAGGAGTAATATACACGATAGGTACTATATGTATGGCTTTCCCATGTTTGGGTTTCCAAATCTGTATTACGAAAATCCTGCTAAATTATTTTTATCCAAAATTTGACATTTTTATCTGAATGTGATCAAAATGACTCGTGCTCATCTCAACTTCCTGTTAAGTGACGCAACTGTGATAGCTAGGAAATGCCCTGTAACATTTAGATTCTACCATTTTTAGACAGGGTGTACTTTATGTTTTAGATGAGAACGTATCACATTTTTGTGTTAAGTTCATTATTTAATGAATGCTAGATTATTCATTATTAAAATTTAGTTTTTTATCTAAAAAAATCAATCCAGGCCTGTTCAAAATTGATTGGCTAGTACTTTAGAATTGCACACACCTCTTTTTTCAAACACCTCCGTTTCCCTCATCTAGCCGTGACCTAATTTAAAATGGGTTTACACAGGGATGCTGAATAGCTACAAATATCCATAACAGTATATTCAAAACAATTTAAATTATGATCTGTCTGCCGCATGATTTTTTTCAGTGTTTTAATGTTGGGTATAAAAAATAATTTTTCAGCAGGAATGACCTCAAGGCCAATGTACGTCACTTCTAATTTACATATTTTTCTTTGCAGGTGGTTTGTATATTTAAAGTTGCATGTCATTTATTGGTAATTTACCCTATAAGAATTAGTATAATATTCATTATACCACGCAAATGTACATATTCCTTTAAACAGAGGGTATGGATTTTATTAACATTTGCATATTATTCATTACAGGTGGGTTGGTTGAAGCACAGACAGGATGCCTATTCAACACACAACAACCAGCCGCACTATTAGCAGGAGTCGTGCACAGAGTCGACGGAAGCGGAGCTTTCGGCGTGACTTTCCCGGTAAGCTAATCCATCAAGCCGCCATCTACTCCAACTATGAACTTCTCAAAGATCTCATACAAGGTGCTCAGAAGAAATTCATCAACGATAAGGATTCGTTTGGAAGAACCGCCCTGCATGCCGTGTGCGCAGCTGATCTTGAAGAACGCAAAGCTAGCGTGAAATGCGTCGAGCTGCTCCTACAGTGTGGCGCTGAGCCAAACACGTCTGCTAATGACCGCTACCACTGCTTCGTAAGTTTTCTTGATTTGATATGAAATTATTTGGAAGTAATACAAATGATACAAAATATGCATAATACAAAAAAAACGCTTCCATGGATAACCCAAGATTACTAAATGCACTTTTTACATATTAACTAAATTTTTAATTTAAATAATATACATAGAGAAAACATTCCGCAGGTGTATCAGGGGTGGTGCCAGTGGGTGGGGGGCAGATTTCCCCAGACTAAAACAAAGTGGGTGTGGTTGAGCTTCAATTAAAAGGTTTCACAAGGCCCCCAAAAGTTTTAACAATTTATTGGTTTAAAAGGCTTATTTAATCGATTTTTAGAGTCTAATAATATGTAGAAAATACATATAATTTTTTTTTCTCCCCGACGAGTGAAGCACCCCTGAAGCGTATGCAAGTTTTAAGCCGTATTTAGACTATCAAATTTTACTTGACAAAAACATGTAGCATACTTAATGGTCATGATAACATCATGACCATATAAGGTATATCATGACTATATATGGGCATACAGCAGTTTTTTTTGTCATAGAACATTTGATAGTCTGGTGCGCTGTGCTTGACAGATGAACACAAATTCTTAACATAGACCCTGAAATTGGCGATTGAATTTAAATGGGTTATTTTTTAACAAAGATCCTGTAATTCAACAAAAACTGGTTTGTTTCAATCCATGTATAATTGAAGTTGAACTTTTAATACCTTTAAAGCCTTGTCTAGACTATTAAAATTTATTTTGCTAAAAACTGTTGTATATATGCCCATGGTTAATGGTTTTAAATTTATATAGAGCAAAATACAAAAGGTTTGTGTAGAAGAGATGTATTGTCATGATGTGCCTACAGTATGTATGACCATGATGTGAAGTCACTGTTAGCATATTTGGGCATATAACATTTTTTTGTCAAATAAAATTTTATAGTCTGGACAGGGCCTTAATTGAGCTCTAGTACACTAAGGTTTTAATTTTTTTTTTTCCAGGGTTTTTTTTATTCTATATTTTATGACTAAGTGTCATTAAAATGTGTACCTTGTTGATAAATTAAACAAAATAATATATGCTATGCATTAATAATTTGATTATTACTGGATTTGATATGACAATATAGTCTGACTTGCACATCGCCACTCGCCCACACGCACATTCTCGCCCACACACAGTCACACATATACACAAACATCTATGTCTACATGATACTACATACAGTATGCATAGTCCAACATGCTGACAATTGAAAGCATTGATAAAATGAGTAAGATATTCTATATTAATTTGTCGTAAGTTAACCTTTGTTTCTGTTGCATTATGTTGCAGGATACGCTGTCACAAACAAAAGATGTGTGAAAATTCTTTCTACTTCCCCCATAAAGTAAAGCAATAAAATAGCGCCCTCTATCCATGATATTTTTAAAACTTTCACTTTTAAAACTTAAGTGAGTCTAAAACTCTGTCCACACTATCAACATTTTATGTGACAACAGAAATGTGATATGCCCATATATGGGTGTAATATGACATCATCATACCCATATATGGGTGTAATATGACGTCATCATACCCATATGGGCACATTTTTTTCACAGACAATTTGATAGTGTGGATCAAGTAATAATGTGATAATAAAGTTATTATAGTAAGTATAGTTCTATTTGTGTTCATTGTTTCCCCTTTTCCTTCCTGTAAAGAAGAAATAAAATATTATCCTTATTTAATTTCATTCTGGCTATGAAGCATAGTGAAATAGTGGTACAGTTCTGCTATCCCACAATGCATCTGCATGACACACTCGCCTGCGAGTGCATTAAAAGTAGCCTGACACGGCAGATAAGGTTGATGTGCCAGGAATTTGCTCAATTGTAAATTATTTATAGACTTTATGTCTTGCATATGATATGATGATTCAGACCTACTACTAGCCTGATCCATCCCTTTTTTCAGACTCGTTTGTCTGCGCATAAAATTAAACCATGATGATGAATTAACATGATAATGTATAGGCACACTTGCTGGTAGGACTTATATTTTATTTACCGTTATTAATAATATTTATTAATTCATTTATTTAATCGGCAAATATTGAAAATTACAGGCAAGCCAAACAGGTCATAAAACATAAAAAGGTAACAAATGCCAAATCTGTCAGTAAAGAAGATTGAAAACCATATATTGGCCAGATTAACTGGAGAGAACAATCACGTTCATTTCCATTTTGCCTTGGCAATCATTTCAGCAAAGCTTGTTATGAAATGCCATATCATTTTTAGCTCTGATGAGAGGAGCTCTAGGAATACCCAACTGATTGATTATTAGATCTTTTTTGTACTGATTGCTTTAATATCTTTTTTGTGCTGATACCTTAATGAATATATCTTAATATATCTCTAATTGCTTTATAGATTTTTTTTGTATGGGTAGCCGTTAGGGCCAATATACTCTACAGCTTCTATTATACTGCCCTCATCGGATATTTCAAAATTACAAGACCTTGTTATTCTTCAGCTAGTCACCCTCACATTTTCCAACATCATATCCTTTCATTTCTTCCCATTATTAATTGTCTACAATTGGCATAAACTTTAGGGAACTTTATCCTGACTACTTTTAAAATTAGGTAAATTGTTTATGATCACAATGTGGCATAACAAAATCTAACACATAAACAGTACATAAATACATACACAGTACATAGAACTACACAGTTACTGCCACAAGTAATTCAAGATTAACTAGACCTTACTGTAAATTGGTCATTAACTACGCTTGATCTGTAGTTAAACTTATACGTACTAAGACCCAGTTCAATTGGATGCCTGATAGAAAAAAGAAATTACCAATCATTCTGCTGTATCGCGTCCATGTGAAAGCATATACTCTGTGATTAGCATGCATCCTGTGTATTAGAAGTAAAAAAAAGACATCTCAGAGGCCTGTAATACCCTAGAGGTATTCAGCATGATTTGCGTGCATACTCACCCACCCAGTGGAGCTTATCTTTCACTGCGGCCTCATGTATATTTTCACTGTTCTGTGTATAAATTGTTGGGAGCTTTTAGCAAAGTATGAATTCACTTTTAAAAGGTAAAGACGAAAATTGGTATGAATATCTTTGGACGTTTTGGTAACATTTAAAGCGTAACATGTAACGTCTTGTATTTTGTACAAGGTATGTGAATCAGGTATACTGATAGTTAGCAATTGTTTAACCAAGTTTCAGTAGTGTACCGGTCGTTTCATATGAGGCGTTTGAATCATTGGCTGTTTGTACACGTCAATGAACAAAGTAATACTACCCATTTCACCACCAGAAGAAGAACCCAACTGAAAATAAAACTTTGTACTTTGGTATGAAACACACCAAAAAAACCCAATCCAATCCAACATAATTTTTCAAGTTTATATAATGCAATAATAAAGTGCTATAGTTCGTAAATTGTGGGAAGGAAAATGAAACTGGTTGCTGGAAAAATGAATCAAAATCTGGAACTAAAGTACAAAGGCTTAACATATAGTCATGATGTGCTTATAATATTGTCATGATGTGATGTCATCATGACTATATTTTGGCAATGTCACCTGTTTTGTCAAATAAAATTTGATAGTCTGTTCAGGGCTTTAAGACTAGTGAAAATTTGTTTACCGGAACTGGATATATTTCAGCCAGGTAATTGAGTCTAATAATATTTTCAAATTAAAATTTACAGTATATGAAAGCTTATTAATGACTTTCATATTTTATTAAAACCAAAAATAAATATTGTTTTTGAAAACTTCAATCATCAAAAGTGATTTTTTTTTGGTCTGCATTTTATTAGCCACATCCCACAACGCCTGTCCCAGGATGAAAATAAAATGAAACTGAAAATAAAGTTCATCCCAAATGTTTGTTATTCGTAACTTTTCAGACGCCACTTCACCTAGCCGCACGCGACGGCAAGATGGAGACCATGAAGTTGCTGCTAGACTTCGGGGCGGACATTGAGATCAAGGATAGCGAGCATTGCAAGCCGATGGACGTCGCAAATAAGAATTGTCGGAAGAAGTGTGCCGATTTTCTGCATGATATACAGGGTGAGTTGCGTTCTTTTTCTAAGTGTGACTATGTATAATGTTTTCCATTATTAGGATGATGTTGTTGATTACTTACTCTATGCATTTATAAGACAAGTGAACTTTAAACATGTCTGACGTTTTATCTTGGATGTTTTCTAGGTGGAATAGTACCATATTTTGAATTATGCTATGTCTTGTGTATTAACTAATTATATCTTTGTTGTTGTTTGCTCTTTAATATAGAACAATTGTTTTTTTAAATATATGAGTGAAATGAAAAGGTTAAATTAATGAATAAATTATGTATTTTGTTTCATTTCATCTTTTGTGACATTTAATCAAATTTCTTATTTAATTTTGTGAGCGACTTATGTTATTTTTGTATTGCTATTAATTGCTGTTAAAACTATATAGTAGAATCCCTTCTTTTGGGACACTGCTATTAAGTAAGGAGATGCTTTTTCGGCTATGAATTGAGGGAAAGCGTATCTGTATTAAAACACTACAGCCAGCCCTTTCTTAATGTAGTGTTAAAAGATGCACTTTCCCTCGCTTCATAGCTGAAAGTGTATCTTTTAACACTACAGTCAGCCCTTTGTTAATGTAGGGGACACCCTTATAAGGGAATACTTTTTTGGTCCTGAAGGTGTTCAAGTTGAAATAGATCAAGAATAAAAAATTAATTTTATTTGAATATTTAAAAGGGAGAATGACACTGAATAAAGATTGGTAATGAGATCTTGCTAAAATCCACTAAACCAAGAGCATTACAGTATATCACAAATTTCTTCATTTATTAATATTATTTCATATTAGCAAACATTGTAATGTTGTTTTTTTATTAAAGTTATTAATGATATGATGTAAAACCTTGAATAGAAGGTCCATGGGCTTTAACTCGAGAAGAAGCCCATCTCGAAAAGAAGCCCATTTGCTTTCAATTAAGATATTATGGGCTTCTTTCGAGATAGTACTTACATTCAGACTGAGGTTATCTTTGACAATTATTTTTAGCGTGTCCGTATCAATAATAAATTATTGTGCTAGCATAGCAGAATTTTGAATTCCATAGTTAAAAAATGTTGTATAGTAGCAATTCCAAAATTAACAGCATTCATTTTGAAAAGAAGACCCTCCCCCTCTTTTGGGCCTCTCAAAAAGAGGCCCTCTCAAAAAGAGGCCCATCTTGAAAAGAAGCCTATCCAAGGATCCTAGAAGAAAGATGCCCATGCCTTCTTTTTGAGGTTTTATGGTAGATCAATAATTCGGTCCATCATTACGCCAATTCAAGATAAAATATACAATATTAAACTAAAGGAATGTGACTAAGGTGCAGTCAATTTTATGTTAATTTTATTACTTATAATTTATTTGTTACTTTAATAAACAGAGGATTTGTGTGATATGAAAGAGTATTTTGTAGTATTAATTGTTGACTTTATATAACCAGTTTAACTGTTTTATTTATTTAAGAAAATATCTTTTATAACCAGTTTTTATTTAATAAAAAAATGTTATATAGTTCCACAAATCTAATTTTATGGTTGATTTCACAAATATAATGGATGCAAGATAGCAATAATTCACAATTTCCTTACAATAAAATAATGTTCATTTTATGTCAAATCCAATGCATTATACTCAGCAGAGTATTTAATATTTTTTTCAGAAAAAGTTTTTTTTTTTGTTTTGTTCCCATCTGGAATCGAACCCATTACCTTCTGACTTGCCATTCATTTGCTTTCTATGAGACCAAACTGGTATTAAAACTTTTGTATTATGCAATGCTGTCTCAGGTTTAATGCCATGTACAGAAATGCAATTTATGTAGGCGTGGAAGTATTATGATGTTATGACATTCTTTACAACTGTTTGACTCTTTTCTATGACCTAGTTCTTTTGTTTTTATTGCCAAATCATTTTCATTCTGATACTACTGTAATTCATGATGTTATTTTACTTTAAATTGTACCATAGATTTTAGTAATGGTATAGAATAATGTCCTTGTTTTCTGTCACTTATTTGTAAAAAAAATGATAAATGTTGTTACTTTTGCTCTGTCTACACTAACAAATGATCTGTCAATGTCAATGGTTTGCCCTTATACAGCATGCACTGTATTTGTATGCCATTAGGACCTTAGTGGTGTAACGTTCCCATCGCATAATCAATAGTTTGGATAGGGTATGCAAGTCTTAAGATCTCAGTAAAGTAAACATCTAATTTATGATGCTTTTAGTAGGGTAGGATTGAGGTCATGTAAGTTTGAGAACTTCATCAGAGTACAGTAGTAAAATTAGCCTTATTTGTCGATCATATTTTAAAAATTAAATTAATGTCTTACTGTGATTGTTTTTTGGCCGACTTTGGGCTGGACCTTCTTGTAAGCCTGCCCATCGGATATTATTTGCCACAAAAGATAGCGTAAACACCTGTATGTGGATTTTTAGACAAAGCGTGTGTGCCTATTTTTGGTCCTCTTCAAGATTGATGCTCTGGAAAGTTTTTCTGAATTGAAAATGGATATGATGATGTCATATCACATCCATATATGGACAAATTGCAGAAAATTGTCATAAAATGTGTTAGTGTTGACAGAACTTGTTAGGGCATAATATACCGTAATTAGTATGGAGTTACACAGCACGGGTATGAGGATAGTGAATAAATTGGCATTAGTCATGTGTAGGTATTACAGTACTGTATATGTGTTTTTAGTGTACGTGTGTGTAGGTATGCGTGTCCGTGTACGTGTGTGTACAGTAGGTATGCGTGTCTGTACGTGTGTGTAGGTATGCGTGTCTGTGTATGTGTGTGTAGGTATACATGTGTGTGTATGTGTGTGTAGGTATGCGTGTCTGTGTATGTGTGTGTATGTATGCATGTCTGTGTACGTGTGTGTATGTATGCATGTCTGTGTAAGTGTGTGTAGGTATGCGTGTCTGTGTACGTGTGTGTAGGTATGTGTGTCTGTGTACGTGTGTGTAGGTATGCGTGTCTGTGTATGTGTTTGTAGGTACAGTATGTGTGTCTGTGTATGTGTGTATGTAACTTGGTGGTGTTCTTAAGCACAGTCCAGACTGTCCAATTTTATTTGACAAAAACATGTGACATGCCTACATATGGTCATGATGACATCATATCATGACCATATATAGGCACAACGTGACTATATATGGGCATACAGCAGTTTTTTTGTCAAAGAAAATTTGATAGTCTGGACAGGGCTTTGGGATGTCCTGGAGTGCCTGTGTCCTGGGCCCAAATTCTGTAAATTAATCAAACGATTTATTCTAACATAAAAACTAAATCTACTTCCTTAAAACTCATCATGCAAAATAAATTTAGATAATCTTTTTTTCCTGTAATTGGTGGGTGTATGGTTGAAAGTGATAGAAGTAAGGACAAACAAATAGTGTACTGTAAATGATACAAATATTTACTATGGTTTTCTGTGGATTCACTATGACTATAGACTTCATAATCACAGATAAAGATATTATATTGACTACTATTAATAGTTAGGAAAAACAGTGCCTTATAGATATTTTTTATGGGTTTTATATTACACATTTAATATTTGAGACTGTTGATTGAAATAAACAAGGATATGTGGTTATAAAATGTTAGTGAACAATACCAGAAAGAAATTAATTGCACAGGTTATGAAGCAGTATAGGCAGGAATAATATTTCTTTATAAACGTTCATTTACGATGATGTAGGACGTATGATAAGCCTACTTAACTACCGGAAAGCACCACCCCCAATATTTTTATAAGCGCCGCTCTAGAATAAGTTATATGCCCATATTTAGTCATGATGTGCCTTTGTACGGTCATGATATGATGTCATCATCACCATATTTAGACATGTCACACGAGCTTAAGAATACCACCAATGTCAGCAGCAAATCTCACTTTCCAAACATTTAAGTATTTCCCTTGGACTCTCTGCAGATATTATTCTCCTGATGACGATTGAAACAACTCAATCAAAACGTCAAGACGTTCTCAACAAACAACAGTTCTTTTCAGAACTATCTATGTGGTGTACCCAAGCATTAAATATATAAATTATGGGATTATGAGAATATTTTGTTTTCACTTTTGTTAGATAAAATTGGAAATTAATTTCTACATAAATTGGTAAAGATCATATTCATATTGAGATAGCATCCGCAGTGTGGATTAAGGGCAAGGTCAAAAAGTGCGAGCAGCGTCAACCACACATGCAACAACAGGAGATTTCATTCAGGGGAAGGGGAGCCCAGGGGAAGGGGAGCACAGGAGAAGGGAACACAGGGGAAGGGGAGCATGACAGGAAAGTTAGTGGGTGCTATATGTCGCCATGAAGTGACACTCTGAGGTGATTTTGTGGCGGCGGATGTGCTAATTGGCTAAAAATAAAATTTTATTTTCCTTTGAAATTATCATTATTCGTGGGAGGTGGTTTCGCTAAACAGGGTATAAAAAAATCTCTCGTCTCACTAAGAGGTAATGTGCTAATTTCAAGTAATTAAGGCATGTAAGGAATGTTTGTTCAAAGTATATGCAATGTACCTAAGCCTAAAATTAATGTGACATTTGTACTGTATGACCTCAATTTTTTCCTGAAAGATAAAACCGATAAATCATTGTCAAAAATGGCATTTCCCATGAATGGTGTATTATTAGTTGGCCCCAGGGTTTCTTATAAATTAAAATAATTAATAATTTACAGAATTCATGCAAAGTAATGTCTGAGAACCATTCTTCAGGAATAAAGGGTCAAGCAATCAAGTATCAAGTAATGTGAATTGGCTCTTATCACTTCAAGTAAGATTACATACAGTAGTTAGACGTATTTTATTTCTTGTCAACTTTTTTTATTTCTTGTTTCGTGAACCATTTTTTTTAAAGATCATCAGAGACAGGCAGAAAAAAAATTTTAAAAAATTGTGTTTTTTTGCAAATAGTTTTGCCAAAAATATCCTGACAGAAGATAAAATAAAAATTGAATTTTATTGTTGAATGTAA